TTAAAAGGCAACAAAAAAAAAAAAATTCATATTGCTACGACCTGCCTGTGTGTGTGTGTGTTTGTTTTTCCGGGTATTCCTACTTGCCAACCACGCAAGCTTTGATGCTGAAATTTTTCCAGTGTGTTCCCTGGTCAAGCGCGATCCCAGGAACATGATATCAATTTTCACACACGTCTGCGTCTCATGTACGGGCACGTAAAAATTTTGGCGAGAAGACTGTTAAATCGGGAGCGAGAAAAGCTGGAAGCCTGAAATTTTAAAGGAATGTTCCCCACTCATGTGCTACTAAAAGATTTCAGATTCAGTTCTTCTAGCGGGATCTTTTTCGAGTGCCAGCAACTTTCCATTTATCAGGTTACCGAAGCCGACATGTGCAACTGGCATGCCACATAGCTAATACACAATTAACTTCCTGAACAAAGAGGGCCTGTGATTCCTTGCGATCTTGTTATGGCATGAAATAGCGCAAAAATGCGTGATCGGACCTGTCCGCCTGGTGCATTCTAACCTGGGTGATTACTGCTTCATTGGCAAAATTGACGAATGGTTTAGTGGAAGCGAAATTAAAGTAATAGTGCTAAATATTAACCGGGGCTGTAATGCACCAAGCTCGTAGTGCGAACATGTGTTTTTGCACTAGACTTGAAGTACTCAGGTTGTTAACTGCATGAATGGTTATCAATTTACACCTACCTTGCGCGCTCACTAGCGTAATTCATCGTAAATTTTGAATAAATGACACGAACTACTGCCGTTTATCGGTCGTTCTTTGAAATTAACCTAGCTGTTCAGTGAGAAATTTTCCTGCCAAACTTTTAAGTGCCCGTACATGAGAACCATATATATCTGGAGGCTTAGTTTGAAGTCTTCAAGTTGTACATGGCTGGGATATACCCTTAAAACGTCAGCCTCCTAGCTTTTCTGGTTGCTGAGTTAGCGATTTTCCCACCAAAACTCTCACATGCCCGTACATGAGAATCACGAACACAGGGGGCTGAATATGAAATCTTTAGCTCATACCTGCATACCCAATATCTTTGCAAAGTTTCATCTCTCTGCACTGTCTGGTTCTCGAGATCGCTTCTCCGGCAAAAAATTTACATATTTGTTTGAGACTTCCGTCTGTGGGATCCAGGCGTCCGGGGGTAATCATATTAAAGCGGATGTGTCGAACATGGTGTGGACACATACTCCCGAAGTTTCAGCCTTCTAACTTTTCTGGCTTTCGAGTTAAAAGTGGGTGACAAAAAGTACGAACACACAGACAAAGTCAAAGACAGCCTCTTGCCAATATGCGTTTTTGCTGTGCAGCGCTGTTGCGCTGCTACAGTGAGCAAAAACGTATATTGTCGAGAGGCGAGTAAAGTATGTTGCCCGTGTGTGTGTGTGTTTTCGGAAGTGAGTGAACTATGTCGCTCACTTTCAACTCAGCAACCAGGAAAACTGAGGGGCCGAAATTTTGTGGTCCCTCATGTTTTACCCTCGCATTTTAAAATTTTCTCTCATATGCGCTTAGATCTCGCGTACAGACCTCCGAGAAAAATATGCAAGTTTTCCTGGCGGGACACGATTTCACGAATCAGACAAGATAGAAGGCTGAAGCTTTGAAGAGATATTCTCTGTGCATGTTAAGGCTAAAGATTTCAAAGTTAGCTGTCGCGCTCGCTTATATCGTGCGTACGGTCACGTCAGTGTTCGCAGCTGGCACTGTGCTAACTCGAAAATTAGCGGAAAAGCAGTAGCTGAAATTTTGTGGAAGTATTTAGTATTCATATGGGGAATCGTATACCTAAACTGACTCTCGATTTGCACCTGAGCTACGACTTAGGGGACCTCAAAGATATTTGTTGTGAAGTGGCTATTTCGCTCGTCAGACAAGCTACGAAGGTGGAAGTTGGTAAGGATATTCTATATTTAAGTGTGACCTTGATTTAACTTGGAAGTGAAGTAATTCAGCTTGAAGCTGCAAGCGGACGTGATAAATACTCAGTTTTATCGCAAACTCAAAAGTGAGTGCATTTTGCATATTTCATGATCCTCTCCGGACTTCATGCATATTTGCATTTTTTCAGTGAAACGAGCATTCATTGGAAAAACGACCGGGTTTCATGCAAAAACTGATATTCGTATACGCTGGAGGTCCATTCATCCCCATAATGAAAAGCATCCGTCCCATCCGGAGCACTTTTCCCCTGTATGCAAGAAGAGACCAAAACGCAGCCAGTATGAGTCTAAGTGTCAAAGTGCAGTGCAGGAACTATTCTTGCTGTTAGCG